AAGGTCCCTGGAAGCCCCAGACAGAGCTGAGGGCGGGAACCCTAACATATTCAGGGAGTGGGTGAATCACTCCGCAGTTCTAGTCTGGATGAATAGGTACAACCCAAATCTAGAAGGATGTGGACATGGGAGGCTTGAGGAGGGAACACGGGAGGTGTGAGTGATTAGGAGTCTCAGCTAAGCAGGGATGATAGGAGGAATCCAAGGGGCTGGCAGAAGGTCAAAGTACAGATAAGAAAGAGAGACCAAGAAGCTGCAGTGAGCAGTGGAAAACGGGTTTTAAGTGAAGAAATGAAATGCTCAGGTTTTCTTTTAAAAGGATCCCCCAGGTTCGAGCCCCGCATCGGGCTCCCTGCTCAGCGGGAAGCCTGCTTCTCCCTCTCCCACTCCCCCTGCTTGTGTTCCCTCTCTCGCTATGCCTCTCTCTCTGTCAAATAAATAAGTAAAATCTAAAAAAATAAAATAAAATAAAAGGATCCCCCAGGACGCTTGGGTGGCTCCGTTGGTTGGGCGTCTGACTCTCGGTTTCAGCTTAGGCTGTGGTCTCAGGGGTGGTGGGATTGCCCCACGTCGGCTCCAAGCTCGGCAGGAAGTCTGCTTGGAGATTCTCTCCTTCTGCGCCCCCCTGCACTCACTTGTGCTCTCTCTTCCTCTTTCTAAGACAAATGAATAAATCTTTTTAAAAAATAATAATAAATAAAAGGATCCCCCCCTGCTGCTGCGTGGAGAAAAAGGTGCAGGGGCTCAGGGACAGGTGCAAGGGGTCCACTTAGAAGGGCACTTTGGGTAGAGGATGATAGTAGCTGGGACCAGGGGGTGGCACAAAGTGGGGGGGATTCCAGGACCAGTTGGAGTGGGTGGCGGGTGGGATGCGGGTGGGACCGAGCCGTTGGCGTGTATGAGGCACCAGTGGTGTGCCAAGTACATGTGGAGGGCTTACCCTTTAAAGACGAGATAGACACAGGGTGTCTGGCTGGCTCAGCTGGGAGGAGCATTGGACTCTTGATCTCAGGGTCGTGAGTTCAAGCCCCACATTGGATATGCAGATTACTTAAATAAATAAATGTATTTTTTAAAAGGTAAGACAGGAAACTGATAGTCGCCTGCTATGTTCTTGGCACTTGGAAGTGAGAAGATGTGCTATAGGGAGGGTACCCCTAACTGCAGGGTTGGAAGGGGTGGTATGAGGAAGGCTTCTGGGTGGAGGTGTCTCTGGAGCTGGCACTAACAGGGGGAGGAAAGAGGAAGGGCCATCCAGGATGAGCAGGAGCAAAAGCTCCCAGGCAAGTCTGGGGAGCCTGCTGTGACCAGAGGGCAGCAAGAAGTCAGCGCGGCCATTCAGCTGACACACAGGAAGACAGAAATAAAACTGCTGAGGAAAGCGGGAGCCATAAGAGAAAGGAGAGCAAGGGTGTGATGCTGGGTGCCAGTATGGAGCGGTGGGAGGCTGAGGGAGGGGGTCCCACACGGGCCTGTGTTCCCAGTGACCGTTGCCAAGTTGAGTTCGCAGGGCTGGGCTCTCTGCCTGCAAGGAAGGCTGTGGGAGAGGGAGCCAGGTCGGGGCAGAAAAGAGGACTGCCAGGCACTGAGAGACAGTGGCCTTCTCTCAGAGCCCCCACCTGCTCACTGAGGCTTTCCTGTAGCTGGGCTCAGGGGCTGGCACAGGTGTGTGCCAGGCCGCTGCAGAGGGATGAGAAAGCAGACAGCCGAGGTTGGCCTGAGTAGCCACAAGTCAGAGTGGCTGGTGGAGCAGAAAGCTGGGGGTGGCTGGAAAGGGGCTTGTCCACCAAGGCCCCCACAGCCGGGTGGCATTGCAGGGACAACGCCCATGAGCCAAGTGCCCATCCTCAGGGGTCTCAGGGCAGTTTCCCATTTTATCCATGCATGCAAAGGGCAGGGACGTGCTCACGGCCCCCTCGGACCCCAGAGATCTTGGCCAGAGGTTCAAGCTGGTGAGACAGTGTTGGGGAGGGGGCAGGACAGCAGGGAGAGTGAGACTGGGTGCAGGGAGGCATGGGGGGCAGACTGTGGCCCTCTGGGCAGAGGTAGCTGTGAGGCTCAGAACTGCCACTTTTGGGGGGGCACAGAGGTGCTGTTGCCTGTGGAAGTTGGAGCCCACGCACAGGCGTGTGTATTTTCCAGGCAAGATGTCTGTGCACGGTGGGCAGAGAGCTTATGAAACAATAGTGCCAGATGCTGTCAGTGTTCCTTCCATGCCACCCCCTGGACCTTCAGGGCACATCAACCAACTTCCATCCCAGCACCTGCCCGCATCTTTGCCCAGGGCCTTTCTCCACCCACCAAAATCCTCATCATCCACCCACACAGTAGGAAGCATGGGAAATTAACACCCCTGGGAGTAGCCCATCCAGTGACTGATGGGAATGGGGGTGTAGATACCCCGCCTCCCTCACCCTGCTGGTGGGACAGCTCTGAGGTTCCTGAACTTCGTGGTATCCCAGAGCTCCCAGTGGGATTGTGTCCCAGTTGCCCACAATGAGCGACTTGCACTTGAATCCTTGTCTCAGTGTCTGCTTCTGGGAGAGCTCAAAGTAAGACAAGAACCTCAGCAGGACACAGGAGGAAAATCTTGGGGCAGAAAGGCTGAGTGTGGATCCCAGGTCTTTGTGTGTAAGGAATTCCCAGCCTGTAGCAAGCTTCTGCACAGGTTGCTTGAGCATAAAGTAGAATAGTGTTTATAAAACGGTCCAGGGCATACTAATAATATGCCGTGTCGCCCACCAATCTGAGTAAAAACCACGCTGATAACGATGCCGTTTGGCTGGCTACAGGCTTACAGCTGAAAGCATAGTCCACTGATTTGTCATCCTGGGCTAAATATAAAGGAACTGTGGCCTGAGTCCGAGTTATTTTCAGCACCGTGTCTTACTTTGCAGCCATTGAGGGATGCTATTCAGAGGGCCACCTTCCTGGAGGCTGAAGTCAACCCTGGTGGCCCCCACATTCCAAGACAACTGTCTAACTCCTCTTCCAGGGAAATTGCCTCCTCAGCGTGTGATGACTGATGCCCCAGGCTCCCCCAAACCCACCAGGTCTTGGCTTCTGTTTCTGGCTACTCTCCAGAGCTGGGAACTGGGTCTCTTCCCGGGGTGGAGTTGTCCTCTCTCAAAAGCCGCCGAAGAGGGAGAGGGGAAGTAAAGAGATGCCAGTGTTTATTAAGAGCCTGTGAAGTCCTCACTCTGAAATGCATGAATCTTCACAACATCCCTTCCGGAGAAATTTTGGATTTCGCAGAAAGTGTGAGACTTGGATGGCTCAATAACTTGCTCAGGGCTGCGTGACCGCAGTTTCAAAGGCCTGTGCCTCGTGACGCTGGGTGACTCCTTCTGCCACCGCCACCGTGTGTCTTGGCACTGAGATTTCTCTATATGGTGGGAGGTGGGGGATGGGCAAGTGCTCCCAGGTCAAAGGGGGGCCTGGTGCCTCTGCCCCCTCAGGAGGGGCACCCTGCTCTCATTTCTTTGGGGGCAAAGGGAGGAGAGAGCAGGGCCCATGATTTGTCAAGGACCCCTGCCCCTGGCCCGCTCAGTCTCCCGGGCCCCGGCAACTTTTTCCGGGGGGGGGGGGCCCCCCCCCCCCCCCCCCCCCCCCCCCCCCCGCCTCAGCTGCTGCTGAGGATGTGAGAATGAACAAGAGTGGCTTTTGCTTTCTGGGTCATGCCCTTACATTTTGTCAGGTGCCTTTTAAGGACATGACCCCCCAGGTCGGTGGTGGGGATGCGAGGGGAGAAGTGTGTGAGGAGGAGGGTCTTTCTGACACAGCTCAGGTCCTAGTGCACGCACCCCCTCCTGCCTGGCACTCTGCTCCCTCAAAGCCAGCCCCAGAAGCACCCCCCACCACTTCCACTGGGACAGCCCCGCTGACCTTCGCTCCAACAGCCATAGGCATTGTGTTTATTGAGACTTAATTCTAGGCTCTGTCTCTCGCCTGCTTGAAAATATCCATGGCTCCCAACTTCCCACAAATAAATGTGGAAACTCCCAGCATTTCAGGCCCTTCACCATCTGTCCCAATGATGTTTTCTCGGCGTATGGCACAGGACATTCTCAGAACCCCAACTTGTACTCCTCTTGCCTACCTGCCCCCCCCCACTCCTAACACTCTCTGTCCCTCCTCATCCTGCTAGGCTCCTGTCCATCCTCGGAGAACCCCGGAAACCCCCCGCCCCACATGCTGAGCTCTACCATCACCCTGTCTTCATTCCCTTGATAGTTCATGCACATAGCTACTCAGGGAATGGGGCCATGTTTGCTGTGAGCCCAGCACAGTGCCTGACGTGGGGCAAGCCTTGGTCAACATTTAATTCAAATGTGCTTACCCTTTCTGTGCTACAGACTTCCTTGGGCATCTGGCAAAGCTTATGGGACCCCTTCTCGGAGTTACGCTTTCAAATGCATAAACTAAAATACAAAGGATTGCAAATAAAACCGATTTCACTGAAAACATCAAAATATTTGTGAACGAAATCTGTGACTTAGTAAGTAATGTGCTTCTAGGTTAAGGCATTAAATAAGAGGATCTAGTGGTGTGTTCTGATGTCTGTCATTTCCAAATGGTGAGCAGCATTGACAGTATTTTCAAAGCATCTGCAACAACTGAATGTGACAGGAAAATATCTGGCAGGAACTGCTCACATCAGGTTGAATCGTAGGAAACTGCCAATCTTGCACCAGTTTTGAGCTACAAGAACCGTGATTGCATATGGCTTTGTCTCCTTCTACTCGGGTTTGTTGCTGACGCTCGTCTTGGGGGAAACGCACAGTATCAGGTAGATGTGAGTAAAATGGAAGATGACGATTTTTCCTCATCCAAGTTCATGGACCCCTCGAATTATATCAGGGACCCCCTGGGGAGGGAGACCCTTGAGAGCCCGGAGTTGCCAACTGGGCCCCTAGTTGAAGTCTTTGCGCCCAGGGGCTGCCAGGGCCTCCCTCTCTCCGAGCGTCCGACTAACAGGCATGGTTCTCTGCCCCCCGCAGGCTCCCTGTTCCCGCAGCTGAAGCCGTCGGAGGGCGTCTTCAAGGTCATCTTCTGGCTGGGCTACTTCAACAGCTGCGTGAACCCGCTCATCTACCCGTGCTCCAGCCGTGAGTTCAAGCGTGCCTTCCTCCGCCTGCTGCGCTGTCAGTGCCGGCGTCGCCGGCGCCGCCGTCCCCTCTGGCGCGTCTACGGCCACCACTGGCGGGGCTCGACCGGCGGCCCGCTCCCCGACTTCGCTCCCGGCCGCGACGCCGCGCCTCCTGGGGCCCCGCTGGCCCTCACTGCGCCCTCGGCCCCCGGCTCCCCTGGCACGCCCGAGGCGCAGGCTCCTGTGGCCGGTCGTCGAAAGCCGCCCTGCGCCTTCCGCGAGTGGAGGCTGCTCGGGCCGTTCCGGAGACCCACCACCCAGCTGCGCGCCAAGGTCTCCAGCCTGTCGCACAAGATCCGCGCCGGGAGCGCGCAGCGCGCAGAGGCCGCCGGCACCCTGCGGGCGGAGGTGGAGGCCGTGTCCCTGGGAGTCCCCCACGACGTGGCCGAGGGCGCCACCTGCCAGGCCTACGAACTGGCCGACTACAGCAACCTCCGGGAGACTGATATTTAGGGACCCCGAGCGAGGCCGGGGAGTGTGCTGGGGAAGGAGGAAAGGGGCTGCGGGTGGGGGAAGCGGGGAGGGCGGGGAGGGAGGCTTGGCTTTTGTTCAGGAGGCCGGGGCCGGATCAGGGACCCGGACACGGATCAGGGCGGCTGCCCTGTGGCCTTCCTGAGGAACTGAGGCGGGGGTAGGGCCCTGGAAAGGTGAAAAGTTGTGGCCCCCTCCTGGACATAGGTGCCTGGAGCTCTTCCTTTCGGAGGAAGGGGCTGCGGGTTCCGGGGGTGGGGGGACCATTTGCTCCCAATCCCTGTTTGAGAAATACTGCCCCATCCATGCCCTGAACCCTGGACAGACAGCCTCAAGTGTGGCGAGGCAGGCCCGCCCCTCCTCTTGGGGAGGAAGGGTCACAGAGGCCCTGCCTGGCTGTCCCCAGTGCCTCCCCTAGGGAAAAAGTCAGTGGAACCAGGGCTTCTCCATGGACACAATTTCTCCTTACTGCCGACTGGAGGAACCCAGTGGACCTGCCGCCACCACCAATAAGCTTTGGTGACAGATTGGATGACCATCCGACAAGCCTGTTGTATTTACCCATGGACTCACTCCCCCCTACAGAGGCTCCTCCATGCATACCACATCACCTGGCCCTGCCCCTCATTATGTCCTAAGGGCCTTACTGTTTACACTCTGTACATAGTGCCTGTGCCCATCACTTCTTGCCGGGATCTGGAGCCATCAAATGGGGAGAGCTTTATTTGTCATTTTGAGACATATTTATTGGTAAGAGTACTTCTATTTTGTCCAAACGGTGCAAACGGTCCCTCTTTAGCTTGTAACCCATAAAGAACTACCTTTTTTTTTTTTTTCTAAACTCCTTCAAGTTCTAAAGCCCCACAAGAGGATAGATTGGGTCTGCATTCACCTTTCTAGTTTCAACTTAACTATCTCTTTAACTGATGGCTGCTATCCTCTGGGACTTTGAGCATGACCAAAGGACTCAGGGGTTTTGTTGGCTTTTAAAATTTACATGATTAGTCTTGGGAACAAAACAGTAATCATAAGCATAAATTTTCGCTTTGTCAGTCTTCCTAGATGAATCTGTGATGCCCTGAGGGCCTCAGTGAGGAAAGTCGCCATCAGTTAAAAGGGTGAAACATTACATGGAAAAATATACAAGCCCAAGTAGACGAGTGTACATGGTGAGTGAGAGAACACCTGCCTAGGAACCATGCTTGTTAACTTTGAGTGAAATGTCCAACACTTGTCCCATTCGCAAGAGATTGCAGGTAGTTCAGTCTTGAGCTGGATAATATCAACCACACACATACAACCAGAGTGGGGGTGGTGACTGTGGTCCAGTGGAAAGCTGGTTAGGCGATACCCCAGGGTGTCTGGAGTGGGAATGTTCTAAAACTGGAAGAGTCAGTTGCTGGGGCCAACATGGACGAGTAGTTTGAACCAGAAGTTTCCATCCTGTACTGAGGAAGTCATCTGTTTGAAAGGTCACCCCAATTTTAGACCTCTGACCCCAATTTTATAAGGTAAAATGATAGCCAAGAGCAGACTTTTCATACTGTGGGTCTGCAGCAGATTCTAGACTTTCAGGCCTGGCATCTCCCCCAGGCACAGGAAGGGCAGTTTAAGGCGGGTGCTGGGAACATAATGCACACCCCAGAGAGGGCCCCCTTTACAGCACACTGGCCACCCTAAAGCTGGGGACAGTCCTTGTTATCTTCTCACAGAGGTGGGGGCCATCCCTCAAATCAGGGGTCAGCGAAGGGGCTGACCCGCTTGTCGGAGAATTGAACATTGGGCTCCTGGGCAGGGGTTCCAATAGCAGGGGAGGGTCTCTGATCAGGCGAACGTGGGCTCCCACGTGCCAGGACAGCTGAGCCCAAAGGAGGTCAACAGTGCGGACGAGGGAGCAGGTTGGGGACGGAACCTTCATACGGGGGATTTTAGGGGCCCTCCCTGCCCTGGATAACCCAGTAGGTGTGCAGGCAGGTAGGGCTGGCAACTTGCCCAGTACTTTTTCTAGGCACAGTGGTTAATTAATCTGCAAAATGTACCTGTTGTTCAAGCCTCAGCCCCCATCTCCCGGGCACAGGGCCCTCTGCACACAGCTGTCTCCTCCGGTACCGCCGTACCAAGCCTTCAGGAGATCAGGGAGAGCTACAGAGACCCCAGAGAGGCTGTGCCACAGGGACCCTCCAGGGACCCAGTTCTAATCATCAATAAAGCACTGAGTTGCTGACCTGGTGTCAGGACATGCCAAAGTGTCGTAGAGTGGCCCAGAGGGATGGAGGGACTAGCAAGAGCCCTTCTAGAGGAGGGAGCCTCTTGCAAGTGATTTTGGGACATCTGGAAGAAGTGCGTTCACTGCACCATTTCCTGAGTCCTCAGGCACCCCAGTCCACACATCTGATTAGAGATGCTGTCTCTGAGGTGCATACAGAAAATGAGGCCCTTATCTCCAGGAAGGGCTATGAAATGGCAGGGTGACCGGGAGAGTGGGAAGACTCTCTCAGTACGCATCAAAATGGGAATAAGTGTTCCTCTACACCATCTTCAAGGAATGGGGTGAGGCCTTGAGGGAGTTTGTGAGTGGGAAGGGGATGGCCCTGTGAGATGGGACAGGGACAGAACGAGCCTCCAAGAACACTGGCATTTGCCTAAGCCCTTTGCTCCTCACCACCGTAGAAAGCTTCCTTCCTGCTGCCCGCTCCAGGCCCCGGTCCAGTCTGCCCGCCCTCCTCTTGAGCTGGGCTCTCGCCACCCATCTTGCCTTGCTTCCCACACTCTTTCCGGGACCTCTGTCCCCAGCCCCCAGAACTGCTTTTGCAAGTCACCTGGGACGTCCCAGTTCCTCAATCTCCTCTGTCTCTGCCACAGTCCACACTGGTGGCTGCAATGTTCTTCTCCCTGCCCGAGCCACGCCCCTGGGATCTCTTCTGGTCCCCTGACTACTCTCCCCCTCCCTCTCTCTCTCTGCCTCCTGCGCAGGCGCCTCTCTCTGCCCTTGTATGTCCCCCAAGGTTTTCCTCTCCCTTTTCTCAACTCTCCACGCAATCTCATCCACTCCAAATCATCTCAATGACCACTTGTACATAAATGGCTCCCAAGGGTTTGTCTGTAACTCCAGATGTGTGTTCCCCCTCCCCTTTGGTGGTTCCCAAGCACCCCAAATACAAGCCCACTCGCCTCCCGCAAGGCCGTCTCCTCGACTCCATGTGGGCATGACAAGGCCACTGGTGCTGAGGCCGTAAGCTCCCGGAAGCCCTGAGACTGCCCACCTTCTCCCCTCCTTCATCTTCCCAAGATCTTCCTAGATCCCCTGCTCAAAACTAAGCCCCAAGTGTCCCTCAGCCTCACTGGTAGCTCATACCAAGACCATCCTGGCCTAGAGCCCAATGACAGAATCCATACCTATGTATGGGGAGAGGGCTCCCTGTCCCCAGAGCTGCTCAGGGCTGGGTGTTCATTAAATCCTGGATTGATGGAGTTGGCTCACCGACCCTTCCCTGGGACACTGCCCCACTGCCCACCTAATGCTCAACATCACTGTCTTTGCGAGACCTTCACCCCCACTGGTTCCACCAGCCCTCACAAGGGTGGAGCCTGTGTCCTCCCCCAGCCAGAGAGCAAGCTGTGCCTGGGAATTCTACAGAACACCTGCTTTTTGGGTCTTCCAGCCCACCCAACCCTCCACCTGGAGCCCCACTCCAAGTCCCTAGTCCCTCCTGCTCCAGGCGCTGACAGGTCCTGGCAGAAGGTTTGGGACCTCAGTCACCCTCCTTTCAGTGACCTGTCAGAGCCCCGACTCCTCAGTGCCCTCCTGACCCTGTTTCTATTTCCATCCTGTTACACCCCCAGGGAGCTACATGTTCACCGGCCACTTGGAAAGAATTTCCTTCCCCCCCCCCCCACTTCTTGTGGCTCCAGCGAAGCACAAAACCAGATGCTTGTCAAGGCTAAACAGGTCCACAGTCTCTGCTCAGAATAGCCCTCTGGGGAGCCCTGCGGACCCAGGTGGTGCTGGAGGCGGGGCCTTCGGGTAGGGGGGCTGCCCTGGACTCCCCCGCCATTTGGAGCTGGCTTTCTTCCCTTCCCCCAGCCACACCCTGGCAGGAGCAAGGAAAAACAAAAGGCATGCTGAACAGGACCCCAGCCCACATTCTCAAACTGCTCTGGTCTGGGGAAGAACTAAGCAGGAATGGTAGGATGCATTTAGAATCAAGAAGAAATCCAGGAGCTGGGGCCACGACAGTCTGAGCTCCCGAGGGATGGAGGGAGGGATGCATCGGAGGCAGTTAGTTGCAGGGCCCTCCCCTGTGACGTCTGTGGACCGGCCCTCCAGGGCCTCGCCATTCACTCAACTCTACCATACCGTGTGTCTACCTCTTTCCGTCCTGCCAAATCTGAAGAAGGGGTCCCCATTCCCACTCCTACGGGTGACCCAGGTTGGTCCCACTGATCTCTGAGCCAAGCCACATGGGTCACTGGTCAGCCTCTAGACTGGCTAATTTGGTGCCTGATCAGCTGGGCAGGCAGATGGAGGTGGGTTAGATCACATGGTACAAAACAGCTGTCCGGGGACCAGAGCGATGCTCCCAGATCGGGCAGAGGCAGACAGCCATGGACATCTCCAGCATGCTGGAAAGGTTAAGAATGCAACTGCAAGTAATAAGGACACTGATGGACAGCTGCTTAAATGCGGGGCAGTATTTTTCTCACTTGACAAGTTACAAGGTGGGAGGTTGCTAGCATTGTCCTTTGCAGGTCTTTGCATTCTAATCTCTGGTATGTTGACTTGTAGCCTCTTTGTTGCCTAATCATGATCAATGTTTCCATAATCCACATTCTTATTCAAAACTGGGGGGGGGGGGGGAGGAGAAAGGTCTGCTTTTATCCCATGACCTGCTAGGGAGACCGCTAACCTCAAACGCTGGGCGCTTGGGGGCCGAGGTCTGTGGTCAGCCCACCACCTGATTTTGTACAACCCACAAACTAAG